GTATATTGTGCTGCTGTTGGGTGAAGTGCTCTGTAGATGTCTATAAGGCCAAGTTGGTGGATTGTATTGTTTAGCTCGTCTGCATCTTTGCTGAGTTTCTTTCTAGTTGTTCTTTCAAAGAATTAAAGTCTCCCACTATGACTGTGGAGTCATGTATTTGGCTTTTCAACTCTTTTGAAGTCTGATTTATGTATTTTGGGGCCCTTTCATTGGGTCTATAGATATTTATTATGGTTATATCTTCATGATCAGTTGATCCTTTAATCATTTTATAATATCCTTCCTTGTCTCGTATGGTGGTTTTTGTCTTAAAGTCAATTTGATCAGATAATTAATATTGCAACTCCTGCTCTTTTTCAGTTGCTATTTGCTTCAAATATCTTTTTCCAACCTTTGATTTTTAGTCTATTTTTGTCTTTATCTCCAAGGAGTTTTCTCTTGTAGGCGGCATATTGATGGGTTTTGTTTTCTTATCCAATCTGCAACTATCTGTCTCTTGAGTGGTGCATTTAATCCATTAACATTGAGTGTAATTATTGATAAGTTTCAATTTGTTGCTGTCATTTTGGTATGTGTTTTTTCATGGTGTCCCTGGTTTCTTTGTTCCATATTATTTTCTGTGCTTAGTGCATTATGCTTATGAATCGTGTTATCATTTCCTTTGTTGCTGTTGTTTAGTATATGCTGAATATTTGTGCTTGTCCTCTTTTTTATTGTGATGTGAAGGCTTATCATTTTTCTTTGAGGTTATCCTATGGTTTATAATTTTATCCCTGAGTTTAGAACAGTCTGTTCTATCTTGCAACTCTCTTAAGTTCCTCACCATTTAGAAGTTCTGTAACTACACAGTCCTTTCCCTCTTTTTGTTTGTAGTTGTCCTCCCTTGCCAATTGATGTCTCTGGTTCCCTGATTATAATCTTTTAAGCTCATTTTACTTTGTATATGTCCATAGCTGTAGTTTGTGGGTTATGTCATCTTGTGTTTTAATGGTCAGTTATTTGCTTTTTTGGGTTCTCTGTTCAAAGGACTTCCTTTGGCATCTCTTGTAAGGTTGGTCTTGTTTTAACAAATTCCCTTAGTTTCTGCTTATCTGTAAATTGACTGATTTCACCATCGTATTTGAGGGACAATTTTGCTGGATATATAATTTGTGGTTGAGAATTTTTTTCTCTTATGGTTTTATATATACCATCCCATTGCCTTCTCGCTTGCATGGTATTTGAAATACCAATGGCATAGCCTCACAGCAACATGCAGGCCACCACAGTACAATGAACTGACAGACCAGTGGTGGGTTCCCAAAATTAGGTTGACAGAAATCATTTATCATTTCAATATTACTAGTTATTTCAAAAACAGAAAAACAGTAATTATCGTATTTTTACTTGGGATATTGATAAGTAACGAAAATAATCCATTAATTTACTTTTCCTATTTGTAGTTGTTATTTGCCATCAAGTCAATTTTCTTTTTTTTTTTTTGCACCAAATGATAATTAGGCAGCATGAAAATTTTTCATGTTACTTACAGAAAGTTAGAAATCTTACTGAGAACATGTGACTTTTTTAAAATAAAAAGGAAGTAAAAGCCTACAGGTAAATTTAAGTTGAAAGGTCTTTCTCCCCACCCCCCCCAAGAGGATTGTGGCTTTCTGAAAACTCTGGTTAAGTATGTTTTGAGTTGTTTTTGTGTTTTTCTTTATTTTAGGAAAAAAGAAAATTAGAACTCATGTTTCTAAAAATGAAAATCAGAAAAAAATTAAGGAAAAATTGAAAAGCAAGTCTTCTTCAAATGAATCCAAGAAGAAACTTGCACATGAAGAAGTGACTGTGACTGTCACAAAAAGTCGAAGAATTTCCAGGCGGCCATCTAATTGGTGGGTGGTCACATCTGAAAGTAGTAAGTATTTTTTATATAAATGATACTCATTGGACATTCTCAAGATACTATTCTGTAAGGAACAATCTTTACATTTGGTTTGTACTCCCATTCTCCAGAGAAAATCTCATGAAGAGAAAATTATTTGAATTATCAATAGAAATAGTAAATCATATAATTAAAAAGGTTTTTATTGAGGTGGTATCATATACAATATTCTAGATATAGGAATACATCTATTAAAAAACAAAATCCAAAAGCAAAGTCTTTGCTGTCATAGTGCTTATATTTTAATGGGAGAAGACCAAAAATGTAGCTATTTAATGCCATGCAATGGATGGTAGGTAATAAACTATAAAGTCATAGAGAAGGGAAGGAGGTAGTAGAGGTGAGGGTGGATAGGAGGATAGAGCGGGATCCTGTTTTCATAAAATTAGACACTGTGATCTTTCAGAGCACAGATATGAGTAAAGTGAGGAAGGGAGTCCTACAGATAATTTGGAGTGGAGCATTCTAGGCTAAGGGAACAGTATCTGTAAAGGTAATGATGGAGTATGTTTGGCCTATTGGGGAATATCAATAAGGTTAGTATGGCCAGAGCAGTGTGAAGCAGAGGAGATGAAGTTAGAGAAGTAGGCTGTGATAAAGAGTTTGGATAAAGTGCATTGGGAAGCTATTAGAAGGTGTTAAGCAATAAAATGACATGAGTGACTCATTTTTTAAAAGAATCTTACTGCTATGTGAGGAGGAAGGAAGCTGGGCAAGAAAGGAAGCATGGAGACCAGGTACGAGGCTTCTGGAAAAGATGTCAGTGACTTGGATCAAGTAATACTGAGAGCTATCAGAACTGATTAGATTCAGGATATATTCTTGAAGATAATCCACAGGATGTACTGGTGGATTGGGATGAAAGAGAGGTAGAAATCTAGGATGACTTGAAGGTTTTTTTTTTGTTTTTCTCTGAGCAAGTAGAAAAGTGAAAGAATGGAGTTACCATTTATTGAAAGGAAGAAAGCTGTGAGAGAAGCAGATTAGGGAAGGACATCAGATCAGGTTTTGATAGTTTAATTTTTATTTTTCTGTTAGGTATCAAATGGATATATTGAGATGGTATGATAAATGAGGCTAAAGTAAGGGGAGAGATCTTGAAGGACATATAACTAGAAAATTACAATTTATGTGGATGATGTTTAAAGCTTTGGGACTTCTTGAAGTCACCTAATAATACACTGAACTGGAAAAGAAAAAAAAGCCAAAGATTGAACCCTGGGGGACTCCAGTGTTAGAAGTGAGGAAGGAGGAAGATAGCACTTTAGAAGAGACTTAAGAAAGTAGTAGTCTGTGAGGTTGAAGGAAAATGAAAATTAGAGTAATAGAAAGTAATGAAAGGATTTTAAGGATGGACTGATGCACTATATTAAATACTAATGATGGCCTGTGTTAGATGAGAACTAAGAATTGATAGCATGGTTTTGACAACATAGAGGTGGCTTCTCATCTTTATAAAAATGGTTTCAGTGGAATACTGCAATTAGAAGCCTGACTGGAATGCATTCGAGAAATAGTGTGAGAAGTGAGGAAAAGGAAGAGTAGGTACATAATATTACATCATGCTTATTTGATCATTATAGTGATTTTTTTTAAACTATTGTGTTTTAAGTCAAAGTTTACAGAGTCATTTGGTTTCCTAGTCAACAATTTATACATAGCTTGTTTCATGACATTTGTTGCTATCCCTTCAATGTGCCAGCCATCTCCCCATTTTCACCCTGCCTTTGTTGTTTCCAAGGAGCTCTTGGGGTGTAGTGGTTAAGGCATTTGGCTGCTAACCAAAAGGTCAGTAGTTCGAACCTACCAGATGTTCTGTGGAAGAAAGATGAAGCAGTCTGCTTCTGTAAAGATTTACAGCCTCTGAAAACCCAATGGGGGTTGCTCTGAGTTGGAATTGACTCAGTGACAGTGAGTTTGGTGTTTGGTTTCCTTGTTTCTGCCCCTCCAATTTCCCTGCCCCTCCTTGCTTTCTAATCTTTGCTTTTGGACAAATGTTGCTTGTTTGATCTCGTATAGTTGATTCTTTCAAGGAACATATTCTTCGTGGGTGTTATTGTGTATTTTGTAGACCAGTCTATTCTTTGGCTGAAAAGTGACCTCTGGGAGTGGCTTCAGTTTGAGATGAAAAATGTATCTTAGGGAGATAGTTCTGGGGGTTCCTCCAGTCTCCATCAGTCCAGTAAGTCTGGACATTTTTATGAATTTAAATTTTGTTCTCTATTTTTCTCATTCTAACCATGATCATAAAAATAATCTTATACAAAGGTATGGGGGTAAAAGCAAGATCACAGCCCTTGAGAGAGGTGCAATCTGGTGCACATTGCAAGGGTTAGTTCCAGAGCAAGAATAGAAAAAGGAGAAAAGACAGAATATATGGAGACAGAAGGAAGTAGGTTGGTAGATTGTGATGGTGGGAGGATGAAGACTTAACTTTTCTGACTGTTTTTGTTTTTTCAGTGACATAATAAGCAAGGTCATCATTTTCAGTGATTAATGAGCAAGGTCACATAAAAGTGAAGTGGAAGGGAAGATAATGGAAGTTTAAAGAGAAAATAAAAGAGAAATAGTATATGGAGAGACTGAATTGACTAGCAAATGTAGTCCCCTTTAGATCCTTTGGTTATAGATTTAAAGTGAAACTAGTTTGCATGTGTGTTTTTCTGCAGATATTTCCAATCCATGTGTTGGTGTAAAGTAGACAGGGGTTGGATTTAAACAAGGATGGGATTGTACCAGGCAGTTCTGATAGAAGGAAAGAGGGGGAGGACAGTTGAAGGTATGTATTAGGGTGATTATAATGATTATTGGAGGAGTGAGCTGCAGGGATCCAGGTAAGGGTGGTTGGAGGGGTCCAACAGCTAAGGGAGACAAACTTGTCTGTCAGTTTGTCCTACTGTGGTGATGTGTTACTGTGAGTCTTGAGGCTGTGCCACTGGTGTTTCAAACCCAGTGGGGTGCACCTGTTGCACAGGTATCAGCCCAGCTTGCAGACTGAGACAGACTAGGAAGAAGGAGGAGGCCATCCACTTCTCAAAGAATTGGCCAGGGAAAACCTTATGAATAGCAGAGATGAATAGTCAGAAACATTGTTCAATATAGAGGAGGAAGATGAGTCACTTAGCTTAGAAAGCTCTCATAGTAAGACTGGGCAAGAGCTGCATTATCAGAGTAAAATCAGCCTTACTCTGGTAAAGTGAAGTAAAGTACCTTTACTCTAGGTAAAGTTTTTGAGGCCGCCATTTGCAGACGTGGCACCACTCAAATTGAGGAGAAACAGTGGCAAACATGCATTAATAATCGGAACATGGAATGTACAAAGTAGGAATCTAGGAAAATTGGAAGTTGTCAAAAAATGAAATGGAACGCATAAAGATTGATACCCTAGGCATTAGTGAGCTGAAATGGAATGGTTTTGGCCATTTTGAATCAGACAACCATATGATCTACTATGCCGTGAATGACAGTTTGAAAAGGAATGGCGTGGCATTCATCATCACCGAGGCTGTTTGAAGATCTGTCCTGAAGTACAATGCTGTCAGTGATAGGATAATATCCATACACATATAAGGAAGACCTGTTAATACGACTATTATTCAAATTTATGCACTAACCACCAGAGCCAAAGATGAGGAAATTGAAGATTTTGACCAATTTCTGCAGTCTGAAATTGACCAAACATGCAATCAGGATGTGTTAATTATCACTGGTGACTGGAATGCAAAAGTTGGAAACAAAGAAGAATCACCGGTAGTTGGAAAATTTGGCCTTGGTGACAGAAATAATGCTGGAACTAGCATGGTGGAATTTTGCAAGACCAGTGACTTGTTCATTGCAAATACCTTTTTTAACAACACAAACGGCAGCTGTACACATGGACTTCACCAGATGGAACACACAGGAATCAGATTGACTACATCTGTGGCAAGAGGTGATGGAGAAGCTCAATATCTTCAGCCAAAACCAGGCCAGGAGCTGCTTGTGGAATAGACCATCAACTGCTCATATGCAAGTTCAACTTGAAGTTAAAGACAATTAAAACAAGTCCACGAGAGCCAAAATATAATCTAGAATATATCCCTCCTGAATTTAGAGACCATCTAACGAATAGATTTGATGCATTAAACACCAGTGACCGAAAAGCAGAAGAATTGTGGGATGACATCAAGAGCATCATCCATGAAGAAACCAAGAGGTCACTAAAAAGACAACAAAAGAAAAGAAGACCAAAATGGATGACAGAAGGGACTCTGAAACTTGCCCTTGAGTGGAGAGTAGCTAAAGCCAATGGGAGAAATGACAAGGTGAAAGAATTGAAACAAAGATTTCAAAGAGCAGCTCAAGAAGACAAAGCCAATTACTATAATGAAATGTGCAAAGACCTGGAAAACCATAAGGGAAGAACACTCTCGGCATTTCTCAAGTTGAAAGAATTGGGGGAAAAATTTAAGCCTCGAGGTGCTATATTGAAAGATTCTAAGGGCAAAATACTGAATGATGCAGGAAACATCAGGAGAACATAGCAGGAATACACAAAATCACTGTACCAAAAAGAACTGGTCAGTCTTCATCCATTTCAGAAGGTGGCATATAATCTAGTACCAATGGTACTGAAGGAGGAAGTCGAAGCTGCACAGAAGGAATTGGCAAAGAACAAGGCTCCGGGAATTGATGGAATACCCATTGAGATATTTCAACAAATGGATGCTGCACTGGAGGCACTCACTCAGTTATGTCAAGAGATTTGGAAGACAGCTACCTGGCCAATTGACTGGAAAAGATGCATATTTGTACCCATTCCAAAGAAAGGTGATTCCACAGAATGTGGAAATTATAGAACAATATCATTAATATCACACGCAAGCAAGATCTTACTGAAAATAATTAAAAAACGGTTGCAGCAATATATTGATAGAGAACTTCCAGAGGTGCATGCTGGATTCAGAAGAGTACGTGGAACAAGGGATATCATA